AGTGTATGTACATGTATGTAAGTGTGTCGTTTGTGTTTTTATAAGTTGTTACGGAGAATGAATATGTGTGTGTGTGTGAGAGAGTATGTGCAAGGTGTTTGTATGTGTGGGTGATAGCGTGGTTGAGTGTGTGCATTTGTGTGTGTGCGTGTGTGCATGTATGTGTGTATGTGTGTAAGCGTGGTTAAGTGTGTGCATTTGTTAGTGCTTGTGTGTGTGCACGTATGTGTGTATGTGTGTGTAATCGTGGTTGAGTGTGTGCATTTGTGAGTGTGTATGTGAGTGTGTGTACGTGTGTTTGTGTGTATGTGTGTTTGTGTGTGTGTGCGTATTTGTGTGCGTAAATGTGTATGTGTATAAATGTGTGGGGGAGGGATGTGTGTGTATGTGTGTATGTATGTGTGTGTGTGGGAGGGGGGCATGTGTTCAAGTGTGGGTATAAGTATGTATGTATGTATGTATGTATGTATGTATGTATGTATGTATGTGTGTGTGTGTATGTGTGTGTATGTGTGTGTGTATGTATGTGTGTGTTCGTGCGTGTGTGTATATGTATGTGTATGTGTCTGTGTTAGTATGTGTGTGTTTGTGTGGAGAAGTGTATGTGTATGTGTGTGTGTGTGTGTATGTGTGTATGTGTGTGTATGTGTGTGCTTGTGTGTTGTGTGCGTATGTGTATGTGCATGAGTATGTGTGTGTATGTGTATGTGTGTGTATGTGTGTGTATGTGTATGTGTGTGTATGTGTGTGTATGTGTGTGTATGTGTGTGCTTGTGTGTTGTGTGCGTATGTGTATGTGCGTGAGTATGTGTTTGTACGTGTTTGTGTGTGTAGGTTCATATGTGACATCATTCTTTCCCTTTTCTCTTCCCTCCCAGATGACACGTACGTGCAAGTAAGTATCTCTTTTCATACTACACACAACACACTGTCTACACACAACACACTGTCTACACACAACACACTGTCTACACACACGCAGCACACATACACGCAGCACACATACACGCACAACACATTGACTACACACAACACATTGTCTACACAAAAAATATTGACTATCCCTAACACACTGACTGCACACAACACACATATACACACAACATACTGACTACACACAACACATATACACACACAACACACATATACACACAACATACTGACTACACACAACAAATATACACACACAACTCACATACACACGCAACACATTGCCTGGACACAACACATATACACACACAAAACACTGATAATACACAAACACTGTCTACACGCAACACACTGACTATACACAACACATATACACACACAACACACTGACGAACACACAACACACTGGATACACACAACACACATACGCACATAACACACATACACACACCACACACATACACACACAACACACTGACTACACACAACACACATACACACAACACACACTGATCAACACAAAACTTATATGCACACACAACACACATACTCACACAACACACTGAGTACACACAACACAGATATACACACCCAACACGTACACACACAACACACATACACACACAACACATACACACACAACACACACTGAGTACACACAACACACATACACAC